AAGCCTTGATTAATGATTTTAAAAAACGTATGTTTTTAAAAATCATTTATGTTATGGCAATTAACATGTTTAGAAATCTATCACATATTAAAAGAAACAAAAAGAGGTGGGAGTTTTGAACGAGTAAAAATCATTATTCATCCTATCACAATTCACTATTCAATTACTATAGCTTCGGTTTTTTTTTTTTTTTTTGTAATTTTCAAGTTACTTCATTTTCGTTCTTAAAACTTTAAGATAAAAATTTTAATACCCTAGTCGATGCACTACATACCTTTTTTTTCCTTTGTTTTTTTTCCTTTACTTTTTTTCATCAATTTATGTCTTTTTTTTATTTAATTAGATGTTAAAATTTTGAAAAATTAATCATTACCTTTTTCACACAAACCGATGATGATATAATATATATCATATTTTTTTAGATTTAAAAAAAAATTACTACTCTTATCGTTTAAAATTGATCTTTTTAATTTATTATAAAAATTCTCATCAAGTTAATTTTTATTCTATTTTTATATATAATTTTTTTTATTAATAAATATAATTTATTTTCTCTATATATGGATTCGAATAAGTTTTTTTTATACCTATTTTTATTTGGTTAATTCTTGTATAATCAAATTTTAAAAATAGAACATATGTATTTTATTTTCTTATTCTTTAGAATCAAATTTTATCAAAATCAATTTTATAGTTTTTATTGCATTTTATTAACTTCAATATATATCTTACAATTTAATTTAAAAAATATTTTTTAATTTATGCTATACATTCTCACCCATTAAGTATGATCATGATGTATAAAAAATAATAATAATAGAGCTATTGATTTTATTAAAAATCAACTATGCATCTACACACACAATACCAACTATTTATCAACATTTTTTAATATTTTAAAATTAATTTTTTTAAAATAAAATAATTGAAATAATATCTTAGAATAACCACCTAATAATTCAAATACAATTTTGTATACTAATATTATTTCATTATTTTGTAAATAAATATATATAAATCAAATGTACATATTTAAAAAAATAATTTTCTTATTAGTAAAAAAGCTTCATTTGTTAATTTTTATACAAGTTTTTATATTAATTGTTGCTTTGTTTCTTTAATGCAATGCTATGAAAAAAAAATACTATGACGTCTTTTTTACAATTTTATATTAAAATTTGTTTACTATGGTTTTTATTTAAGAATAAATGCACAAAAAAGAACAAATCAATTTTTTTTTTTACTTTAAAATTTATTCAAAACACACCCACAGTATATATATATATATATATTGATACAAAATTTGATCAAAAATTATAAAATTAGATGAAATTTACTTTTTATATTTCATTTAATATATTTTAATTAACTAACAATATAGTATATGTTATCAAAATAAAATAAATATTTTTAGTTCGATCCACAACATAGCGTGGAAATCCAAACTGTTCATATGCCTAAAATTCATATCCACTTACTCGTTTATATGCATAAAATTACTATTCATTTGATGACAATTTAAGTAATTTTTATATGTGTTTTTGGATATTAATATGCAAATTTAATATTTTTTTGTACTTTTGTCTTTTATGTTGTAAATCCTTAGCCTTCATTTTTCTTTCATTTTCACACAAAATGTGTGTGTGTGTGTGTGTGTAAAATTTGATTAAAAATTATAAAATTAGATAAAATTTATTTTTTATATTTAATTTAATATATTTTAATTAACCAACATTATAGTATATGTTATCAAAACAAAATAAATATTTTTAGTTCGGTCCGTAGCATAGTGTGGAAATCCAAACTGTTCATATGCCTAAAATTCATATTCACTTACCGTATATATGCATAAAATTATTATTCACTTGATGACAATTTAAGTAATTTTATGTGTGTTTTTGAGTATTAATATGCGAATTTAATATTTTTTTTCTACTTTCGTCTCTCATGTTGTAAATCCTTAACCTTCATTTTTCTTTCATTTTCATACAACGTGTGTGCGTACACACACACACACACACTATCTTTTTATATTTTTAAAGTTAACATATACTTCAACTTATATTACTCTTATTATTTGAATTTATCATTTTTTATGAAAATTCTCATCCAATTAATATTTTTTATATAAAATTTTATTTATTGATAAATATGATTTATTTTTTCTCTATGTTTGAATTTTAGAATAAAATTTTAAAACATGATTTTTTTTCATTTTTTTTTAAAAAAAAGGCATAATATATATCATAATTTTTTAGAATTTTTAATTTTACTGATTATTTTGTAAATAAATATATATAGATCAAATGCATATACTTCAAAAAAAAAAAATCTTCTCGCCAACATTAAATAAGAATAAAATTTTATTTTTACATTAGTTAATTTTTATGTAAGTCTATACATTTATTTTTAGATACATTCTAATAAAAAATATATATTTTTAAAGTATTTGATTTTGAATTCTTAATTAATATTTCAGATTTAAATTATTATAATTTTTTATTTAAAAATTTCTTAATAAAGAAGAATAAATCATGTTTTGTAGTAGAAATTTTATGGAAAAGAAAATATTAATAATTAAATAAAAGAAGTATAAAATTTTGAAATGATTTTGTTCTATCTACCTGCAGCGTTACGAGGATAATTTCAAAAATTAATCTTCATATCAGCTTTAAATAAGAAAAACAATTCATTTATTAATTTTTATAAAAGTCTCGTCCATTAATTATAACTTTATTTTTTGAAATACAATATTATGAAAATTTTATTTTTAAAACTTTTTTAATTCTTGATTAATATTTTAGTTAAAATTATTTTAATTTTTTATTTTAAAATCAATCCATAAAGAAGAATGACTTATGTTTTTTTAAAATAAAAAATTTATGAAAAACATTTAAAAAATTAATTAAATAAAAAATTTTAAAATGATTTCTTCTTTAAAAAAAATTTAAAGAAGAATAAATCATGTTTTTTAGTAGAAATTTTATGGAAAAGAAAATATTAATAATTAAATAAAAGAAGTATAAAATTTTAAAATGATTTTGTTCTATCTACCTGCGGCGTTGCGGGGATAATTTCAAAAATTAATCTTCATATCAGCTTTAAATAAGAAAAAAAAATCATTTATTAATTTTTATAAAAGTTTGTCCATTAATTATAACTTTATTTTTTGAAATACAATATTATGAAAATTTTATTTTTAAAACTTTTTTAATTCTTGATTAATATTTTAGTTAAAATTATTTCAATTTTTTATTTTAAAATCAATCCATAAAGAAGAATGACTTATGTTTTTTTTAAGCAAAAAATTTATGAAAGACATTAAAAAAAATTAATTAAAAAAAAATTTAATTAAAAAATTTTTAAATGATTTTGTTCTACCGGATCGACAGCGTAGCACGGACAACCTAGGCTAGTAAGTATAACTATGTAATTAGAAGGCTAGATTAACTTAATGTTTGAAGATCAACCTGAAAGGTGTCAACATAATTTTTCTTGATAAGTATATAATGTTAACTTGTATGATCCTTAAGTTTTAGGTATTTTACATTGAAAAATATGTTAATAATTATTTATTATTAAAAGAATATATTATAGGTATTCAATAAAGTAAAAACTCTAATGTTTGTGATACTGGATGCCCATTATTATTAAGTACATAATCTTTAATTAAGTGATAAATATTAATTTAGATTGACAATGATCGAATATATATATATATATATATATATATATATATATATATATATATATATATATATATATATCTCGTAAACTGCTACATTTGTATGTTTTTTTTTTTTTTCAATCTCATTTGTTTTGTGTGTTGTGTGTGTATATAGATAAGGGAGAGAAATGCATGTTTTTTTATGTGTTTTTAAAATGTTGGCACATGATGGTGGTGGTGTGTTTGCATGCTGAACATTATAAAGCAAGACCATCACTTTTTTTGTCTTACTTTTTTATTATAAATTCATGCAAGGAATAAAAGAAATTATTATCCTTGAAATTTTTTCATAAGTAGTATTTGGTAATTTAATTTTGTTATCTTTCTTCTTCAGAAAAAGTGTGTTAATTACAGGTGCTATCATTTGTTTTGCATCTTCCAAAAAAAAAAAAAAAAAAGTTAATCATAATGAAGCAAAACCCCAAAACACACATAACATTCCTTGGCAAATGCCCAGAACCTGCGACTAGTTCGCATGGTATAACAAAGTAACCAACTTATTAGCTCGTACGAATAAAATAAACATATGGGAGTTGGGAATTTTTTATATATCCTTGATGAAACAGAGATGAAATCTTAAAGATTAAATTTCCCTTAGTCCCTGAATGTTGATCCTAATTACAGTTTAATTCTTCATGTTTGAAAATCTATAAATAACTTCTTTGATTCTTGTTGATCATTATTTTATTCAAACATATGTTGGTCTTTTTGGTAAATATCTGTTGTACTCTTTGATAATCTAAAGTTTTTGGGTTTAAAAAAAAAAAAGTTTCAATAAGAGAACGGTAAACATAAATCAAGAGACTAAGCTATAGGTTTTCCAAACATAAAGGATGAAATTATAACTACATTCATAACTCAAGGACTAAACAATAATTTACTCAATACTTAAATATATTAAAGCCTTTTACACGTGGATGGGGATAAATTTTCTGTTCTAAAGGGAAAGTAACGAAATATGTCATCTTTTTAGTCGAAGGGACGAAACTTTCCATCCATGCGAGGTTAAATCTTTTAAGAAATTTTCTTTTAGGGTAATAAGAAAGATACTTTTTATTTTTTGGGGGATCAAATTGAAATTGTTTTAGAAAAAGTGATAAGATATTTCATATTATTAGAGGGAAATAATAGAAAATTGGTAGGATCTCAGACCTAGTCTTCTTGCTTGTAGACTTAATTTACCCCAAGAAAAAAGGTACAATTGAATGGTATTTTTGAGATTTGCTGTAAATATTATTATCTCTATAATGTTTGAGACTGACTTAGCTATCAGAAAAGCCAATCAGATTCTCATTCTTGGTCTAGAGTTGTGAGTGCAAATCATGGAGAAAGTTCAGACGTACTAGCTCAAGAGTCCAACACAGTCCAAGCCCATCATAAATCATCCGATACAATCTCTTCACCCCTCGAGACTAAGCAAATAGATTACAATTAGATCTCTTGAAAATAATAATCACCATATAATTTTTGCACAAATTTATTTACCACACAGTTTTGAAACTAGAAAATATTTTTCGTATAAAATAATTCCACTTCTTTCTTGAAAAAAATAGAAAAAAAGATCTCACAACACAAGGACCATTAAATATTCCATTATCTTTGTACATAATTTAGAACAATCAATTAATTGTTTCGCATTCATTTCATATGACATTTAAAACCATTAATTTTATGGCTTACATGTCTCTTCACAGTTTAGAAAAAGTATTCAAAATTGTTTGAAACTCAAAACGTTCCTCAGTAAAATCACGTTTCTCGTAGAAGCCCAAGCCCAGCGAACATATGAAGACACCCACTTCTATTCCTAGCACACGATTCAGATACTGTCGGTTGCAGCACGTTTGGAACCAGTGTTCAAATTGAATTCATAATTAGTAATTTATCAACTTAAGAAATATAAATAAAAAGGAAGTTTTCACAACTAAAATTTATAAAATAAAATATTCACCTCCATACCCATAATCTTGATATGATCTATTTAGGATTTGTAAATTTAACTTTTTTTAAAAAAAAAAAAAAAAAAAAAGCTTTCAACTGATTTCCATTTATCTGGTTGACAATCCTAATTATTCTAAAACTAACTCAATCTCATTTGATTTATATATTGTTTTATGTTTATTATGCTGTGAAGCAGAACAATTGAATTGTTTGATGATAAAACATTTATTGTTGTGTTATTCGAATGAAAATGATCATAAACCACATAAATTTATTATAAAAATTTTAGTAACTAATTTTTTTAAAAAAAAAAATTAACACTCATATTTTAAATTCGAAATGTCACATTAATTTAATATAATTTTTATACTTGCATTTATTCAATTTAAAAGTCATATAGTAATTAACTTATTCATATATTTCATATCGTGAACAGTGTATAACAAAAATCATAAAATTACTTGTATTTATTTCAATTTAAAATGCTCACATTAATTTAATGATGTATATATTTATAATAAAACATAAATGCAAGTTTGCTTTTAATGAAAATTATAGTATTTATATTTGCTGATATAAAATTAAGAATCTAAAATAATAATACTCGAAATATTGCGTAGACATCAAGATAAATGTGCATTACCGACAACTTGAAAAAAGAAAAAAAAAAGTTACTTTTGTTTATTATTTTTTTTCCCAAAAAAATAAGTAGCATTCTATCTTAAAAGACATTATCTTTTCCTAAGCGTTTTGAAATGAAATAAACCCGTACCTAGATGATGCCCACCTCATGTATTCCTAGACCCATACCCGATAAGAAAAATCCGATCACTAAGGTTCATTTTAGTCCTTCTGATTCTTGCATAAAGTTATTTTAATCATTATAATTAATTTGTTTTGCACATACGTCACCAGTTGAAAGTTTTGATCGGTTCGGAAAAAAACATTTTAATCCCTGTGTTAGAACTTTTTTTGCAATTAGGTCCTTACAAATTATCTTAGCGTGCATTCAAGGGGCAAGAACAAAGTATCAAATGGGTACCCGTTGCCCGCTTATACAGAGGGTATAAGCTTTCTACTCTATACTCTTCCATTGGGCATGCTTAACAACTATTTAGTAATGAAATGGTCTTACAAGGATTTCAGCCTCAACGGTGGTCCTCATGTATTCTTCAATTCCTTTGTACAAGGTTAATAATCCTAACATAAACCCTAAATTTCCAAAACACACTAAAATTGACAGACTTTTAATTACTGACCCATATTTACCTAAAAATTTCAAGGCACAATTAATGAGAAACAACTATTGTCCATCGATCAGCTAGTCCCATTGGTTTGAGCACAATGGAGTAACCTAATATTTTTTTAGCAAATCCTTCGAGTAAGTTCAAGAACATGAATATCAAACCTTTTTTTATAATCAAATATTTCAATTCATAATACATTGAATTGACTAAGTCAATAAATGCACTCACTTAAAAAATTTATATGCTACCGGAATAATTTTGATAGCAAGGTTTTGGGACCATAAACTTCCTTTTGCAACTCTACTAACTTCCTAACTTGAACCAAATGGCAAATGCCAATCATTGCCTGCTTTTATGCATTAATAATCATAACAAAACTCTATGTTTTCTGCCAAATATCAAGATTTGAAACTGCATAAAAAAGTACTTGTTAGGATAAACTAAGAAACATCATGGATTTTAGAGAACATCAAGGAAAAATAGAAATTAGACATAGCATATGACATGTTAGCGATATGTATCTTATGATAAGAGTACTAGTGGTTACCAATGTGTTCTACCATCATACCATGATCTATTGTGAATTTCTTATAGTGAAGAGAAAGTTTAGCGATTATTTTCGCATTTTAGAGAACATCATCAAGAAAAAACGGAAATTAGACATTTAGCACATGACATGTTAGTGATATGTATTTTAAGATAAGAGTACTGGTGGTGGCCAATGTGTTCTACCATCATCAAGACAAAGTAGAAACTAGACATCCAGCTATCGTATGGCAATTTAGCAATGCATAGTCTATGATAAAAGTGGTGATGAATAGGGTGCTCTACCATCATACCATGATATATTGATGGATTTCCTTTGGCGAAACTATGGCAATCATATATCCTAAAAAAAAGATAGAATGAAAGTAGCTAGAAATAATAGACATTTTAATATCCATGTTTTAGTCAACCTAACAATGACCAGTGATGATATGAACTACGCAACTAACGCATGTGAGATCTGTATTTAACAAACTTAGCAATGATGATATGAACTTTACACCTAAAGCATGCGAGTTTGCATTCAATAAATTTATTTATAGCTACCTACCACTTAATAGAATGAGTCTCAAACTACCAAAATTTTCTGTCCACGTCGATAAAGCTTTTGTCAATAATAGGATCTGCTCATTGTACTTATGACTAGGAATCAGTTGTTCTCTGCAATATACATGGACCATGCCAATGGTTCTCCTGGCATAACCTGCATGGAGAACTGAAATCAGTAACATAACTGCTTACATGATTTTGAAAATTCATTTTGAAAACTGATGGTGCAAATTCCCTTTTTCTATAACAGTACTGACCAACAGGAATCTGCAGAATTGAAGAGAGGAGTTTCAGTTCATCGATTTTCAAATTAGATTTCATCCAGATTAACACATGGAGAATTCATTGACTTTCATGTTTGTGTTCAACCCCATATGAAGGGACAAACCTTTTCACCATTCAAGCCTACCTCCAATATTTGCACAAAGCTAGTAACCTTTTTTTTTCTTTTTATTTATTAGAATACAAAGCTATTAACTTAATTCCCTGATAATCAATAGATCCTAAGAACAATGCTAGTAAGAACAAATGAATGCCCCTACCTGTTAGTGGTCGAATCAAGGGTTCCGTTTTGAACTGTCACATCATAATCTCCTTTAGTCTAAGTTCCAAGTAGACTCCACTATGTTCTTATATATCAATTAAGATTGAATTCCTTTTTCATAGCAATGAGGAAGTTCAAATTTATCATTAGAAGAATGAAGTGATGTTCTAAGATATATAAATGAACTCCAACTATCACACTCAACAATGATATGCTAGTGATTTCAACAATCAAGTTTATGGGTTTTTGAAAGACTGCTCTTCTCCATGTTGCTTCCATGTCCTGATCTTATAAAGGGCTGCAGTGTAAACAAAGTCAAAAGGAAAAGCAGCAAGCGCATTGCATGTTAAAAGCAATGCTTTTGCAGTTTCTCTTCAGAATTTCTCTTTTGAAATCACTTAAACAGATGTTGCTTGACAATTCTATTAGATAATGATAAGTTCTATCTTCTTCCAAGGCAAAACCACTACTTACTCTTAACACAGCATGCTATGACAATAGGTAATGTCTAATCCATACCAAATGAACAGGCACAACACTAAAATTAAAAGACATAGATGGAAATCTTGCACTCAAGATTAAGCAGCACTTCAAATTGGAAGTAATCTTCATGAACTATTACCTGCATAGTCCCCATTAAGAAAGGTGTGCAACAGGTGACAAGGAATCGGAACTTGAAGAACAGGGGTAATTTCTTCTAAATAACACCTCAAATTCATTTGAGGTGTATAGCCATGACTAATATTATTAAGCAATAATGTTAAACTTTCATCACCTAGTAAGAAATGAATGTAACCACCATAAATGAAATGCCATAATAGTCAAAAATGTATTCACCAATTGATATATGACGTATTCAACCACGAGGTGGTAGCCCGCTAGTAAGCAACCATCGACTTGTAAGCCAAGTTCATGGTTCGATCCTTGTGGCCAGCACTCCTGAGAATTTATTCTCAGAATATCCGAAGCCATGTGTTGGAGAATGTCCCTTAGCCAGGCCTAGGGAAGAATTAGTCTCGAGGTGAGCAAAAGCTAGACCGGGGACACCGCTGAATCTAAAAAAATTAAAAATAAATAAATAAAAGATAAATGAAGTATTCAACAATCAAAAATAAAATCATCATACACCAAAACTAGACATTAATACGAAAAAAGAAACCTAATGCCCCTACCATATGCTTTCTTGCTTGTTTCTATTTTTTCTCTTCAATCACATTAAAAGTAGTGTCGATAACCTGCCTAAGGTCTTCTGACAAATTAATTAATCCCCACCACATACTTTTGAAATAACCAAAATTTTCATGACCAGATATCTCACAACCTAATGCGAGTGTTATGCACACCAACACACTGAGAAACCTGATTCCTCCATCTAGTACCCGACTTGTCTGTAACTTTCCTCAACAATATTTACTATGCTAAAAGAATAAGCAAGGTCTAAGACGCCATAATTAAAATAAAGATGACCAGTTAATCCTTTGAATTTTCTTTTCAAGTCATCCTTAAGAGCTCCCTCACAGTCATTGAAAAAAAAAAAAAAATCATCGTGCATTAATAAAAAATGATTCATGCTTCAAAACAAACTAAAATCAGAGAAAGAGAGAAACTGAAAAAACACCCAGCAAGAAGCAACTTCCAACTCTCTTCAATAAGTGATATTTTCTCCATAGTTTTTCACATAGTAGAAATTGAAAGCATTCACAAAATAATAATAATAATAAATTTGAAATAATTTAAAAAAAAAAAAAAAAAAAAAAACAGAGATAGAGAATTAAGAAAGAGAGCATTATTTTAACAAAACATATTTATAAAATCAAACCCATTAAGATGACCAACTCAGTCCACTATCTTGTTTTCTCTAGTCCCTCCATCTCCTTTCTTGTCATTTCTCTCCTGGTTGGAAATGAAAAGAGAGTTCATAAGATAAGACTTACAGTTTCTCCATGAAAACTTTAGCAGCGATAGTCAAATCTATCAGCTTGCCTTTATTTACATTGTTTCCTCGATGGCAGAAAGAGGGTTTTGGTTCTTTTGGATTTCAATTACGAGTGGAGGAGGTGTTTTAAGAAGTTAAAAATCAAAGGCCAAATTAAATTATGTGATGAATGAGTGGTAATGGCAAAGAGAAAGCTGAAATGCACACATAAAATCACGCCCAGTAACGGTACCCAACCAAGCCCAAACGAATCGACGAAGGGCAACGCAGTAACGGCAGCAGAGATGCCAAATTATAATTGTAGCCATCTCACGTGTCAGACTCAAGGCTTCAGCTTTACAGTAGATAATTAGATTATTTCATTTTGATATTTCGTGTTATATTATTAATCTAGTAAAATACATAAAATTTTATATTTGACTGATTATTTTTTATATTTTTCATAAATTTTTAATAAAAAATTATTTAATAATTTAAAGAAGGTTAAAACTAATGAATTCTTAGCTAAAATTTTATTTTATAATGTTTTTTAAATATCTTTTTCTCTTAAAATTTTTTATTAAAAAAATCAGAGAAAAAATAATCAAAGTAACAAAAAAAAAAAATAGGAACTGAAACCACACAAAAAGTATTTTACAGATTAAAAAAAACCATATTTAAAAAGAGGGATCAAAATACAATGTTAGAAAAACTTTCACTATAAATATATTAAAAATGTTTAAAAACTATAAAAATATAATTATATAGTGAAAAGAATAGTGATTTTGAGTGCTCATGAAGAATAAAATGAATCGTGAATAAATAATATTTCAAATAGTGAATGAGTAGTAAAAGTAATTGTTTTACTTTAGTTTTATTTATAATTTATAATAAAGAGAGAGAGAGAGAGAGAGTGAGAGAGAGATATTTTACCAATAAACATAAGGAAGACTTGGATTTGGATCGAGTCCAAAATAGGAGCCCAATAGTTTATTTGGGTTTTTGTATCATACTTGACTTGCCAGGAAACGGGATTGTCAAATACGCTAAAGAAAGCCCAAGGATCATTCCTCCCATCCAACAGTAGCGAGAAATTCCAAGTCCAAAGACCTGATATTCCATTGAAGCAATAGATAAGAGTGTTCAAAGACCAGGTCCAGCCCCTTGCACAGACTAGGATTTTTTGGCCTAACCATCGTAATTGTAGTGAAATCTATCAGTATCGCACACGTAGATGCGAGGTTTCAATTAAAGACCTACCCATGGAAGCAGATATTAAGGAAGTTAATTTTCCATTTGATGAGTC